CTTGACAGCCTGCCAGGCACATTTCACTAAGTCTTTCTGTCACTTGAGGAGTTTATGACCTGAATCAGCTGAATTTCTGAATAAATATTTATTACAAGACATCATTTATAGTCCTACATTTCTAAATTAATCTAACCTGTTTTTGTCTCTGCAGAAAGGTGGTAGTATCAGGACCCAGACTCAGATGGGTCTAAACTGCATTGTGCCAAGTGAGGCGCAGTGTTTTTAGATGCATAATGCCTCGTCGGAGCAATTAGAATTTGCTAACATTGTGTATTATGAATCTTTGGTCAAATATAGGCTTTGCCACTAGCCAAAGGTCCTGGAGAAATGGAAGGAGCCATGTTGTTCAGTCTGATACTCTGATTATTCATCTAGTTTCTACCGGTTTTGCAAGCAATTGTGCTCATATTCTGATGTTCCAGGCGGTGAACTGCAGAGGGCAGCACAGCATCTCCTACACGCTGTCTCGGAACCAGACTGTGGTGGTGGAGTATTGCCATGATAAGGACACAGACATGTTCCAGGTAATCAAAAAGTGTAAACATCACGGAAAGACAGAGGAAATTCTCTGTCTTATGACAAATAAATGAACCTACCTTATCCTCTTAATGATGCTCTTTAATACTATTATAAATAATGTATAGATGAATGATTTAGGTGTTGAATTGGCATCTAGGGAGACTTGGTGTTGCTTTGCAGTAGCGTTTTCTTTGCCTTGCACTGCAACTCCTGACATTTTGCAGAAAGATCTTTTAAAAGTCAACATCCGTAACAGCTAATGCGTGCAACTGTCCAAAAATTCAGGGTTGCACAATCCGAAAGACGGGAGTTAAAAATACATAACCTTCCGTTTCCCCTGCGTCCTGCATTTGGCTCATTATTTTGGTCTAGTGCCTTTCTTACAGAATTCTCCCTCTCTGCTCTGCTGCAGATTGGCCGCTCCACCGAGAGCCCCATTGACTTTGTGGTGACGGACACGGTGTCGGGGGGCCAGGGGGCTGAAGATGCCCCCATCACTCAGAGCACGATCTCCCGGTTCGCCTGCCGCGTGGTGTGCGAGCGCAGCCCTCCCTACACCGCCAGGATCTACGCTGCAGGCTTCGACTCTTCCAAGAACATCTTCCTGGGGGTCAGTGCGTTTCTGTACCGGTACGGGTACATGTCCGAGTACCAGTATGGGTACCAGTACCAGTACGGGTACATGTCCGAGTACCAGTATGGGTACCAGTACCAGTACGGGTACATGTACGGGTACCAGTACCAGTACATGTCTGAACATCTTCCTGGGGGTCAGTGAGTTTCTGTACATGTACCAGTACCAGTATGGGTACATGTCCAAGTACCAGTACATGTACGAGTACGGGTGTGCTTTCAGCATGAGGCGTGAAGGTCCAGTGACAGGAGGAGGATGTGAAGGGTGGTGGGGTGCATGGTGCTTGATTAAAATGTCTGAACGTTTTTAATGAAATGGATTTACCGGCGACATCTAATGGTGGTTGTGGGGGGTACCTTGGTTGAATAGTTGATGCCGATCTGATATGGAAACGGCAAATCTCTAAGTTTTGCCCTTCCTGGGCACGGTCCCGCTGCGTTCCCACGCCCGCCCCCCCCTGACGGCCGCCCCTCTGCCCCTCTGCAGGAGAAGGCGGCCAAGTGGAAGAACCCCGACGGCCACATGGACGGGCTGACCACCAACGGCGTGCTGGTGATGCACCCGCGCGGCGGCTTCACCGAGGACTCCAAGCCCGGCGTGTGGAGGGAGATCTCCGTGTGCGGCGACGTCTACACGCTGCGGGAGACCCGCTCGGCGCAGACCCGCGGCAAGCTGGTCAGTCCACCAGGGAAAGGGGGCCTGCGAGCGGGGGGGGGTGAAGAGGGGCGTGGGTGTGGGGGAAGGCTTTGTTCACAACTGCCCGTCCTTCCGTTCGGGATACCAACAGGAGGGGCTACAGCACGTTTCTAATGGACATTGAAAGATCCTTCATGCGGCCTGCTGTACTTAAACCTAGCATCTTGCCGACTTGTCTCGTCGAGGGGCATAGTCGTGGGGAGGCAGAAACTAGAAATAGGTTCAATCAGATCAGGAGAAGTTCTGGAGAAAGGGGGGCATCTTCTAAAGACATTGCACTAGAGGTGAGGCACAACTTTAAACCTTCAAGGGTAGAATGGAAAACCTTAATAATTAAAGGGGTTGTTTATTTTTCTGGTCTTCTTTCCTTTAGGTGGTTATTTTTGAGAGTGTCATAGACCTTTCCTGTTAGATGCTTTATAAAAATACTCTTGAGTGACAAGGCTGCTTGAAAGTATTTTGCTGGCGATGCATTTAACTCTCTAACTGACCGGTCAGTAGCAAAATAAGTGGTGTTGCTTATTCTTAGGCCACACCAAGGCTTTGTCGAGTCCAATCATTTATTCTGAGTCAGCGACCGTTTTTAAAACCTTGACTAAAATTCGGTCCTGTCCTTCCGTTGTTTTTTGTTCTGCATGAAGTTCACAGCTGCGAGTGGTCTTTTTGTATGCATCAAACACTTGGTTTTTCTGATGGAACTTTGCCTTGCGCCGGGCCGGGGACAGATGGAGACGTCCCTGCCAGCTGACGGGGGGGGCCTGTGAGCTCGCTCGCCCTGAGCCGTGTGCGGGTTGTGCCCCCTGCAGGTGGAGAGCGAGAGCAACGTGCTGCAGGACGGCTCTCTGGTGGACCTGTGCGGCGCCACCCTGCTGTGGCGCACGGCGGACGGGCTCTTCCACACGCCCACGCAGAAGCACATCGAGGCGCTGCGGCAGGAGATCAACGCGGCCCGGCCCCAGTGCCCCGTGGGCCTCAACACCCTGGCCTTCCCCAGCATGCAGCGCAGCCGCGACCTGGGCTCCCTGGAGGACAAGCAGCCCTGGGTGTACCTGGCCTGTGGCCACGTGCACGGGTACCACAACTGGGGCCATCGCTCCGAGCACGAACCCAACGCCCAGCGGGAGTGCCCCATGTGCCGCGCAGTGGGGCCCTACGTGCCCCTGTGGCTGGGCTCCGAGCCCGCTTTCTATGTGGACACGGGGGCCCCGACTCACGCTTTCGTGCCCTGCGGACACGTCTGCTCGGAGAAGTCGGCCAAGTACTGGTCGGAGATCCCCCTGCCTCATGGCACGCACGCCTTCCATGCCGCCTGCCCCTTCTGTGCCACGCAGCTCAGCCCTTCTCAGGGCTGTGCCAAGCTCATCTTCCAGGGTCCCATTGACTGAGCCGGCACACGCAGCGCTCCCATGGAATGGGGGAGCAGGGCGAGGTGGAGTGGATACACTGTGAAGCTTCTGACCCCCGTTTTCTTTTCTTTTTTTACTATCCGGAAACGGGGAATCTGTCGGTAAGGTTCCACGGGCTGAGGTGCTGCTTGTAAGCTGCTCCCCCTAGTAAGTCTCATGGACCGTGACCGCAGCCTGCTGCCAGGATGACGGCTCGCCCAGAAGAGGCATCGGATCAGGGCTCTTGTGACCAGTGATGCTCCAGTTGTGGGTTCCCGAGCACCGGCCCAGCAAATGGGGCAAATCTGTGGATCTCCGTTGTCTCTGCCCTCTTTACCTCTCATGTGCACAGTGCTGTTAACCTGTGCTGCTTTTTCACAGGCCTTTTCAGGGCTTTCTCAAAACGCCTTGCATCCATTTACAATCGCAAAGCCAGTTCTCGGAAAAGACCACAGCACACCAGACCCTGTTCTGCAACCCCATGTAAACTCCAGGCAGAGAGGCAGACATCTGACGCCAAAATCGAACCCAGGAGCTGTGATACTGTGCTTACCACCCTGCCTCAGTGCCACGTAGAATTCATCCTCATAAAACTCATTTTACTGAAGCTGATGGATTTAGAGTAGATGATCATGCCTTTCAGATATCGGGCTCTTCAGGCTTTTTGTGAGAATTCAGCCTACTTTGTCCATGGAACACTGATAAGCTAATGGGTGACCTCGGTGGCCACACGTTTCTGCCCCAGCCCTGGAGTGAGCCGGGATCAGTAAGGCTCCTGTGGCCTGGCGCTCGGAGATTCCTGTCCTGGAGCTGTGCTGGTGTAGGCTGGTGGTTTTTGGGTTATTGCAGAGTTATCAGGGCTTGTGCCCAGGTCAGGTAGCTGGGCTGCTGCTTGACAAAAGAGACGATGGGTATCCCAGGGATCAGATTTATCTCAGTTTTATCAATCAGCTAGGATTGTTTATAGCTTTGACCGCATCTCGTGTCCAGACCCATAGTGGTTTGTCTTCATGCTAAGCTTTTGCTAATTGATTTTTCTCCGATTTTTCGCCAAATATCTGATATAGATGGAAGGCATTTCCGATTGCAGCAACAATATACACGAAGGTTAAATCTGCCCTTATCCCTGTCATCCTGTTGTTTTCCGTGTTGGCACGTGAACTAGGTAAGAAGCATCTTCTCCACTGGCCCTGCGGAGAAACTGAGTGAGAGACCCTGGTTGGAGAAGGCAATGGACATGTGGTTTAGACCAACCCTTGGTCAAGACTCCATTTAAAGATATAAACCAGAGCCTGGCGCTCCAGTCTGGACCTGGGAAAGATATTTTTACACGATAAAAATGAGCTATTTTAATCAAATGGGGAGTTTTTATGAAGAGATATTTAAAAACTGTTTTTACACGTCCATCAGTAAAGCTCACAAGATTTTTCTTGTTCTTCCTATTGAATATTTTACTACACAGAGGCCCTTGTACAGTTTTATAATTTAAAGGATGTTAATATATTTTATCTTGTATACTCCTCTGAGCATGTGCTTTCATCTCTCTATGCATGTGTGGCTGCATGTGTCTGTGTGGTTGAGGGCTGTGTACAGAGGATGTATATGCACCCTCTTCATTTCCAGTGCTTTAGGAAAGGACAGGCTTTGGCACAGCTGACCAGAATGCTGTTGCTTTATATAGAATCACTTTTAAACTCCACAATATGCTGTGACAAAGCATGTTCCACCATATATGTGTTATTGCAGTTGATAATGACCAAGAGAACAGTTCATTCCCCTAAAGTGTAATGTAGCAATGATGGATTTAATGAGCACTGACAGGTTTCACTTCAGCAGTAAATCTTGAGCAGTATTCACTCTTACTGTAAACTAGGGCTGTTCAGCCAAGGTGGGGTGTTTCTCCTTTATTTATGTGATAATTGTCAGGGTCAGTTGAACAATTTGCTGATTGTATTTAAACACCACAGTGATCGGAGGGGCTCTGGTTCTGAATGTTCTCTTCCAAATTGCTTTTGGAGAGTCAAAAACCTTGCATATTGGGTTACCCACACAGACATGCGTGCATGCCTTCCTTCATGTTCATATGTACACCTCGTTTCTCCAGTCTAAAATTTGCATTGTGTTTTGGCCATACTTCCAAACTGTTCTAAATAAAACTTTTCTCACTCCCATATCCCATGAAGGCCAAAAGAGTTTCTGCCAACTTTGTTGTTGTATGTTTCAGGGAGAAGCAGCCTGGGTCTTTTGAATGGACTGCTAGACATTCCATTAGGTTAGTGAACTTGCCGAGGTAGAGCTGTACTCGACAGATAAGCAAGCAGGAGCAGATTTTTAGGAGCCAGTTCCTTTTGTGACTGTTAAGAATCCACAACCGTTCTTGTGAACAGAAAAAAACACTAATGATCCCAGCAGAGCATCTCCCAGTGTAAACAGCTGTCTTTACTTCGCTGTGCTCTGCTTTGATGAAAACCAAAGGCTTTTGTCAACCCTGGAATGGCTGTTTTCTTGCTGATTTACTGTGCTGACAGATGGTACCACTTACATACACGGTAATAAAGGATGACATTATTAGATTAGGTCACGGAACATGGGGAGATAAATATTTGTCGTTTTCCAGAAGCTGTGTCATGAGCTGATTTTAAATTAGACCACTTCTGTACTTATTAAGCTTAGTTAAGGTGGCATGTCCTTAACCATACCGGTTCAGCCAAACTGGTTATTTAACCTGGATTGCTCACCTTCACAAACAGTGCTCGACAGAATAATATTTTCAAAGAAGAACATAAGTAAATGGAAGGGGTGTCGGAATTGCAGTTAAGTGTTTGATCTTTTAAGAAAGAAGGTGCTGGTCACCTGTAATGTTCTGCAGATCAACAGGGACTGTGAGGCAGTGAAGAAAACCTTAAAACTTTTCTGTGCATTGAACGGTTTTTACAGCTGCACAGTTCGCACAAAGAACTGGTGGTCCACATCTCCAACTGAATTTGGCTACCGGTGTCTGATATGCCTGAAGCTAGTGCAGATTTTAAAAACGCAGAGTGCCTGAAGATGTAGGGCTGCAGCCTTTTACTGTCAGAAGCTGCATCCACCAAAACATGTGGACTATCCACAAGGGGGTTCCTCGTGCACAGGTGCTCCCTGCCTGCAGGAAACAGGTGTGATGAGGCTGTCTGTTCCAGTCGGGTATCTCAGACAGGCCTGCACCACAGCTTTTAACACTTCACAGGGGCTGTGCTCTTGTGGCATCCTGAGAGTTAGGACTACTTAAAAACCAGGGATGCACAAACCACTTTTCTTTTCGCCCTAGGAGTTTTGACTGCCCCTGGGATTGTACCGATGAGTAGTATATGCGCTAAAGATGTGCAGAAAATCATTAATGTTGCTGACATTTCCCTCAAGCGGCATCCTCTCGTAGGGGAGAATATTTTGCAAAAACGCAGGCAGCCAAGTTTCACAAGAGAAATTTATATTGCGTGGCATACTAATACAGTGGTGGCTGTGCACTGTTTTTTTTTTTCCCCAACTCCATTACTTAATTGAACAAATTCCTTATAAGGGCTTAGAGAGGCCAACTCTCCCAAGGCTTTACCCATAGGTAAATTAAAAACGTGTGTAAAGCCTTGGTTTCTGAGGACTGGAGTTGCCCACAAGGCATTCACTGGAACTAAAATGGATTGGTGTGTGTGTGCTGCCAGATGCCGCCACCACAGGGCTGTGTGCTTCGAATTGAATGTGTATCTTGTGTTAAAGGGGAGGGCGAACGTGGGCGCTGTGCATGTGAGCACAGCCTGGCTGGTTGGGCGCTGCAGCGGCCCAGTGCAACCCAGCAGCCTCCCCCTTTCCCCCACGGACTGCTGGAGCCCCTCGGGCGGAGAGAGGAGAGCAGGGGCAGCAGCTGCTCTTGGCCTCGCCGGCTGCCATCTCCGAGGTGCAAAGACCTGGGGAAATGCGGGACGCCACCGCGGCGGCCCGTAAGAGGAAGACTCGCTTTTCACTGTGCTTGTCGTAACACTGATAAAAAAAAAAAACAACGATTCTGAAACCAGAACTGAATTCGGGGGGTTAAGTGCAATCGGTATGATAGATGAGTCATCCAAGTGAATTCAAAAAATGAGGAACGGGATAACACCAGGAGGGATGGCAGCGCTGCACCTCCCCGAGTGGAGCTCCAGCACTCGGGGCGTCTCCCAGTCGGCATGCCCGATTCACCGATTGACCCGCGGGAGAAGATCGGTGCCGGGGTTCTCTTTCCGTTCTTAACCTTTGTACACTCACGGGGTGCTCGGCCGCCCTAACAGCCTACTTTACTAAATAAAGGCAGAAAAGGAAAGCGTGTGGTTGTTTTAATGTCTTTGAGGAGACGGGGGGAAGCACTGGAAGATGGTCGCGGGTAGGTGCTCCATGTGGACATCTTGGATGATGTGGAAACCCCCCGTGCTCTCTAGTGGGGGATCGAGCATATCTTCCGTGAAAAAGAAGATATCGAACCAGCAATTGCCTGCATTTATTTAGCGATTTTCATTCCAGAGATGTCCAAAGCTCTTGACACGCAGAAGAGGACCCACTCAAGTGCAGCGCGCACCTGGGTAAAATGCTAGCTGTTACGCACCAACAGCCTCGTTACATAGTAGGTCAGATGGAGAGAAATTGTTAAAGATAACCGGTAAAGCAAACCTTTACAGGTTCAAGAGTAGACCTGTAACTGCTGTAAGTTATCAGGACCACTTTCCCAGTTGTGGAGACCTCATTTTCTGACAGGATTAGATAAAAGCACACACCAGAGGCTAGTTTATTCAACATACGAGGCAGCAGTGGGCTTGGAATGAAACTCCTGTGCCTTTGACATGGTCACTGACTGCTTCCCACGTCGAATTAGTTTAAACGCACTCCTGCTTCCTCTACGTAAAAAAACAAAGGAGATCTTACTGTAAAACTTGTGCCATGGGATACCACAGAAAAGTGAGGAGCTTCTTGCTGCTGTTGGATGAATTTATAATTGTATATTTCTTCTTAAAACCTAGTATGGAGTAGTAGTACAGAGACCACTGAGCTGTTTTGCAGCATAATCTGGATATAATCACATTTTCCTCCTGGAACATGAGATGCCAGTAACCAATGAAAAACGCTTGTTTTTATAGTCAAGTTCTGTAGAGAGAGGAGGTTCCTTTTGCTTGGATACTTAACCTCGGACTCTGTTCAGATCTGTTGGATAAACACCCAGGCATTACTGTCACTATGACTCTATGACTGTGGAAAATGGAGACGGTCTAGTTTTAATGTTCCTGAAGCTCTTAAGTAGAGCAGTACATAAATCAGAAAGGCTAAAAAGTGGGATGTCTGAATAATTAAAAACATTGCTTCCTTTTCTTACTGCAAAAGGCGAAACTGCTGCATTGTGTCAAAAAGCCAACCTTTTAATTTCCTCTGGAGAAATATTTGCTGTCAGATTTTATCAATAAATTATTATTTCATTCTCCATCCAAGTCGGTACAAATTACAAGTCCGTAATCTGGTTTATAATGTATTTTAAAGAAGCAGTAATTGAATCTTGATCGGGGTTCTCCAGTGTGTCAGCCAAAGAAAAAAAAAACAGAAAGGTACAGAAGACATTTTAGTGTCTTAAGAGAATATGTGGAGGTGTGTTTTTTTTTTAATTTAAGACTTGAGTATTTGCTACCTCATTTCTTAAGAGTATGGCCAAATATGTTGTTGGCCTTAGAAAGCTTTTTTGGAGCTTAGAGACTGGGGTAATGTAGTCCTTTTTAATCAAACATATTCATGCACAGAGGGATACTTCATTGACCACATATCCTCCTCTTTGTCTATTTCCTTAATTCAGATGTGTGTGCTTAGTGACTCAAGAGAAGACAGAGCAAAAAGAACGAGGCTCTGTGTTTAATATTTTGCAATGAGCGCTATGTATAGGATTTCTCAAAGGAGCTGAACCGAGACTCTCATCTGGCACTTCTGGTACTGGAGACAATGGAAATTTATTTTAATAGGTAACTGGTACTGAAGAAAGCACTGCACTCCTGGAAAGGGAAAAATACGTGCACTATGGACTACACTCTCTCCATCGTGGTCTTGTTCGTTATAAGTCGTGCCACATTTCTGAGCACCTAAGAGGCTGGGACATATCAGAGGTGGTTTGAGACCAGAGTAACTTCCTCTGCTGTGAATTGTTGGAGGCTATACCGAGATTTGCGAAGAAACTTAGCAGGAGCTCCCACTAGCGGTCCCGACTGGCACTGCAGACCGGTGAGAAAGAGCTCAAGACTTTATTCGGTAGCGTCTTAATTAACAGAGAGCTTGGACTCCCTCTTGTGGCGCTCTCTTGAAAGTCTTGAAGCGTCTCTGGTAATTTTACTCTACTAAAGAAGGATTGCTAGTAAATTGCATCATTTCTGCTTCGACTGTAGAATTTAGGTAACTTTGCTGTAATATAGCTGCATATATTTCAAAGTCCCAGACCAACCTTGCCGGCTTGAGTCCAGCAAACCTTTTAAGGCCTAAGGTCTCTCTACAATGTAGGCCGGCTGCATTCCCCAGTGCCAACAGGAGCCCTCTCCTCGATGTGTAATTATTCCGAGCGTTTATTTGTATTTCCACCAGGAAGAGACTCTGTGACAAGAGTGGCCTGTAGTGGCTCCTGCGCTTGAAAATGCCATTTCGACAATATTGCCGAGTGAATGTTGTTAACTTTTTTGCTATTAAGAAATCACTTTTTTTTTTTATTAACGGGGTCTGTTGCTACAGTTTCTCTCCCCGTGGCAGTTCATCTGTGGCGGACCTCCTTAATGTCTCCCTGCACGGGCAGCGGTGTAACAAGAGAGGCGGGAGGCTGGAGCAGCGGCTCGCTACCCGGGCGTGCTAGCCACTGAGGTAAAGGAGGGACGGCAGCAAAGCGAGAAGAGAGAGCGTAGCAGAGCCAGCTGCCCAGCCCGGTGCTGAATGCGGGACACGCGAAAGGGGACCCCCTATTTAAAGAGGACGGGGAAAGGGAAAATGAGTGCAAAATTGAGGGCTTTCAGAGTCTCGGGCTCAGACTGCCCGCCAGTCTCCTTCGGGAGCGCTACGATATATTCGTTTCTAGCGTTGCTTTGACAGTCTCGCCACAACCCGAACTTCACGGGGGAGAAACTGACAAATGCGATCGAAACACAGCGAGTCAGAAACGTCGTGTGTATTCCCGTATTTCTGTGCGGAAATATTAAATGAATCGTATTGTAGGAAATAATAAGGCAACTAGCCCTGCTACGGCCAAACAGAATGGCTTTGTTCTTCATGATCGGAAAAAAAAACCTGAAACGCGTAATTTGCAAGAAACACACTAGATGGAGACAAATACTAGCCAGAACTCGCTTTCACACGCATCCCCCGAATATCTCCGCTGACTTTCCGGTTTTCACCTGGCGCAGTTCTGCCTGCTAAATTTGGGAGGTGACAGGCATTGGGACCGATTTCGATTTTTTTATTTGCAACAAAACTACGCGCTTGCATGCCATCGGTTTTCCCGACGCCCTATTGCTCAATACTACTCGGTTAACGTTTATAATGTCAAGAATTAGGGGTGAAATTCCGCTTTGTTCACAATGCTGAGATGGTATTACCAGTAGTGTAAGCAGCCTTACGGCGCGTTCGGGCCTGGGGTGGACATCGCACAGACGGTCAGGAAGAAGCCGGGGGCTCAATGGAGAACAGGTGTCTCATCCCGTTCAGTATCTCCTGGAAATCTGTATCCGTCTGCGAAATGCGCAATCCGTTTGCATGATTGTTCTCGTCCTCCGCATACACAATTATTTGTATGTACCACATAAGGACCAAAGATGCACACAGGCTTTGTGTCACTTCTTTCGGGCTCCCCTGTCTTGTGTAAACATAATTTTAGCTTTCATTCAAGTGGTGGCGGTATTTTTTTACGTTCCTCTAATCCCTAGCAATCGCATCAAATGCACCGAGAAACCGATATAAACACACACAAACAACAGGTTCCTATTTTTTAATCCCGATTCTAAGAAGCACAGGCGGAAAAATAAAGGCAGGAGCTGCCTGTATCGCCAAGTATCGCGGAGGGTTTTGTGGAACGTGTGCGCATTCCGGGGGTACAGATTTCCAGGTGATACTGAATTGGATACGACAGGAGGCCCGGGCTTCTGCCGGTGTAGCTCCGACCGACCCAGCACAGCCAGACGCTGAACTCGATACTGAAGACCCTTGTAGACGTCTGCCATAGTAAATGAATCTTTAAGCGCAGTAAAAAAAAACGTGTTGTACTGTTATCATACAGTAGCATGATTTCACAGCGTTCTAGCGAAACCGCTAGAACAGCTTGCGAGGAATCTATGAATAACGAGAGCGACGTCACGGAAAAGCCAGTCTGGACGCCATACAAATTCGGGGTGCTAACCTTTCACAGAGAAAAGGGAAAACAGGCCACTTTCTGCCAACGGATATATATATATAACTGCATAGTAAAAGGGGGGGAAAATCAATAAATAAAATGTTAAAACACAGCGAATTACATAAATGGAATTGCTGTGCGTTCCCATGAAGGAGTAATCAGGTTATGAGGTCAAAGGTCGTTGCTCAGACGTTCGGCTCCAGCACTGAACGCCTCCGGCACACTGTCAGACCGGTTCGTACAGCATAGAATGAAATGCCCGGGTTCCTAATCTCATTTAAAACAGTTCCTGAGAGGTTTGTGAACGTGGCTCATTTCCTGTGCCTGTCATGCTGGCTATGTGCTCCTCCTCTCCTCAGTAGTTCTCCGCCCTGGTGGTTCTGTCTGCAGCTGGACCCGGAGCGACAGGAGGAGAAGCAGAGAGCCTCCTGTAAGGACAGCCTGGGGCTGGTGGACCAGTAGGACCAGTAGCTCTTCGCTCCCCTCTACCTGACCTGCTGGGACATGGGGCCCCTCTGACCTGTCAAGTGCTCTGGGGTGAAAAGTGTTAGTGTTGTTATTATTAAACTCCCTAGAGGCTGTTTCTTTCTGAGGCAGTTCAAGACATTAGGAGTGTCACAGGAAGCAATGACCCCTTCCTACACATCTGTCATGGTGAGTGTTCTGACCTTCTGCATCACTGTGCGGTTTGGCAACATGTCTGTCCTGGACAAGAAGCAGCCTGAGAGAGTAGTGTACATTCCCTTTCAAACCTTTAATAATAATAATAATAATAATAATAATAATAATTCCTTACTCTTATAGAGCCTTCTGCCCTCTTCACTCCACTCCAAGCTCTTTACAGGTAATGGGGAATCCCACCACCACCACCAGTGTGCAGCCCCACCTGGATGATGCGACGGCAGCCATAGTGCACCGATATTCTCACCACACATCAGCTCTCAGTGTGGAGGAGAACAGAGTGATGAGGCCTGTTCAGAGAGGGGATAATTAGGAGGCCATGACCAGTAGGATATACGTTCCCTCTGTGGACTGAAACACACAGCTCTAAAGACCCTGGCCAGCCTCTGTTCACTTTGCTTCCCTCTGGTAGGCGGCTGGGATCTAAGCAAACTCCATGCACACTCCCAGTTGTTATGACGATAAAGTGTTGAAATGATTATGCTGGATTGTGGAATGTGTGAGAACTGTGATCTGACAAAGTTGAAACATCTCTCTCTCTCTGACAGGAAGGCAGGCTGTTCCTTCAGCGGAGTGCCGCTCACCTGACTGCTCGCGATGGAGGCTCAGAGCCAGCAGTCCATCAGGCGTCCATCATGTGTCACTAGCTCAGGCAGAGGGGGAGAGAGGCAGGCTGCTCTTTCTGTAACAGGCCTGACAGCGATTGTTGGGATTTGTGTCGTCCATCACCTGCAGTCAGTACGGGGATCAAAGACCTGGAGCTGAGAGGCACCTGGATGGGAGACGTCGGCTTGTTTCTGCAGGTGAGGCAAAGCCTTCAACAGGAACACTGTCCTGTGAATTCCCCTGTCTCCCTCTCTCTCCCACACGCTCAGTCTGGGTCTGGGTCTAATCGTACAGCAGTGTGGAGGAGCAGGCGCAGAAGAGGGCTGAGGGGGCTGCTTTTGGCAGCTGTAATCCCAGGGCCGACAGCGCAGACTGGGGGAACAGCCACAGGACAGTGATCGTGACAGCAGCCCGTCTCACACTTCCTGGGCAGGGTGCTCGGTGAGGCCGCTGCAAGTCACGGGCGGGCACTGGACTCTACAGTGGCGTGCGTGTGGACTGGCGGGACTGGGCTGAGCAGCGTGCACAAACCTGGGACTAGGCTGGAACAAAACGAAGAACTCGAGTCGTTTCCCAGTGGGGGCGCAGCTCAGTAATTAAACCTTCATCTGGCTGTATTTGATTTTGTTTCCCTTTCTTTGGTGATTTCTGCTCACTTCGCTATCTGACCCCGCGTAGACGACGCCCCCCCCCCCACACACACACACCGTCCCCCCTCCCGCTGGCGAAATGCCACAGGTGGCTGGGGGCTGTGCGCGCGACTGTCAATAGGATACCTTCACTGGCGCGCGGTAATCTCTGTAATTTCCTTGGTCACACCACGAGCTTCTGAGAGAAATGATATGCATATCGCAGGCTGTAAATAAGAGATAGTTTTTTCTTCTTAAATAAAATAAAAACTCACGCGCTCGCACTCGCACCCGCGCGCGCACACACACACACACAACAACCGCATGTATGTCTCCGTTTTAATGTAGTCAACTTGGCAGTAATTTTAATCTCCCGGCAAATTGAACTGGTAGGGGATCGTGGCAAGCGTTGGATGAATGTTATTAATTCTCAGCAATATCTATCTTGTACAATTAGTCACTGTTTGCCGCTGAAAATGTCTCATTAATTATCTCCACCCGTTACTGAAGTTTCGCTTACCTCCTTCAGCTTGAAACGCGGTAGTCGGAGGTCCTTGTTTCTCTGTCCAATATGAAAACGCACCTCCGCAAACAAGGAGAAGGTCTTTGAAAGCCTTTTAATTCTCCTCTCCCCCCCCCTTTTTTTCCTTGATTCGAGCAGCAGCGGGGCTCTGCTCGCTGTATAATAGCTTTCATGGTATAATTGATCATTTTTAGCGCGGTAAAAACGTAACGCGCTCAGCACAGCTGTATGAATATTAAATATTAAATTTGATTTCACACTCGGCGTTAAATTGAACCCATCTTTCACTCTCAAACGCCTGCCTTCTCCCCGATCTTGTGCAGTTCCACATTAAGGGCAAATAAAAATAAACGCGTTTGTTTACTCGTTTATTTATTTGTTTATCAATGTTGCGACTTCAAAGCTTATGGCTGGCAGACGTGACGCCTTTTTTTTCTTTAATGAATGTTTCACCTCCGTACGTTGTTTTTTTTGAATCTTCTTTTCGCATTTTATGTTAGAAAATTCAAACCGGCTCGGCTCCGCTGAAGGGTTATTGGGGGTGATTTCTTTTTTTTTTTTACCTGTGGAATGAGGAGCCAGGAAAGAGCTGGAATGTTCCAGGAGCTGGGCTCCCTGCCACAAGCCGTCATCGCCTGTCTCCTGCCATTCGCCAAGACTGAGCCCTCCCAGCCCTTCAACTGCTGCTTAAGACTGGAGAGTCAGGATTTAGTTCCTGGTGGGCCCGGTCTCTCTAGTTTTTTTGGTTTTGCTCTACATGTGCTCTCGGTAACATACTTGGTCTCATTATTTCATTAGGTAAACAGATGGAACACCTCTGACCTGGCTGTGGCCAGTTGTGAAAGAACTTAAGATTATTGTTCTATATGTCTGATCAAGATGACCCTAGGCCCTTCAGGAACTGGTTTAAGATGCTAATATGTGGCTATAGAGACAAATACCCTTCTTTCTTTGTGTCCTGTGGATTATACACATTATGTAAGAATCATACAAATTATTTCAACTGCTGTTTCCCAGACAAACACTCCACCATAGAGCACCACGCTGACTTGTTCATTGAGAAGAAATTTGAGAATGCAACAATCTTTCAAGTCTCAATATGCCGGGAGTTTCCAGTGTTTGATTCTGGACCCTCTGGGATTCTGTGTTTCGCACAGTCGACGGTGAATGTAGACGTTGATACTACGTGGTCAGAGGAGAATCAGAAACCTGTGAGAGGACAGAGGCGACAAAGCCTCTCGAATTCTAGATTTCCTTTCCTCTCCAGTGCAGAGAAGCAGGGAGGGCACTGGTCACATCCTGAACCGAGCACCTAATAACCGCTGGCTGTCCTGCGGTCAGCCGTGAGGGCAACGCGTTGAAATTCGCTCTGTGGTGAATTCATTCTGCTTCACTTCCCAAGACAAGACCACTGTACAGGGAGCAGACGTTTGGGAGAAGAAGTCTTATTTTTGTCCACTCTGTCCTCCTCCTTTTCTTCACTCCTTAATGGAAAAAAAGGTGTTTGAGACATAAATGCTGTCATTTACTTACATGTTTTTAACTAACTCAACTGCCCAAACAGTGTACTGGGGCAACATGTGAACGTTCGTATAAATGCCAGGTTATCTGGGGAAGCATTTTCTTCACGTATTGAACATTTTCTCTGGAATAATCCCAGTGAAAGTCCAGGAACTTGTCTCTTAGTGGACATTTAATCTCAGGGTGATGCAGCTCACTGGATTCCACAGAATGCTGACTATGTGAAAACCGTGATGTTTGGCAAAGAGTCCGACTCCTGATCAGGGGAGATCTCAGAATTCCCTCTCCTACTGTCCCGTTTCCCCTTTCTCCTCGGCTTTAATTCCGTCTCCTCTTCCTTCCCAGCTCTCTCCCCTCCTCGTTCCCTCGTTCCCCCTCTCGCGCGGTTCAGGAGCAGCTGTGCCGTGACATCCACGGCACAACGAGGGGGCCAAATTACTTTAATTACAGAGTAATTGCGGAGTGTTGTGTTAATTAAATCTTGATCAGTTTAAATGAGTGAATTGATTGCTCCCACTTGGAAAGCACGCTGCGCCAGTAAAAGTGTGAGCCTCTCTCCTTCTGACGTTCCCTCTATCCCGGGTGTTTTCCTCGGTGCCTCTCCCGCTCGGTTTAGGATTAGCCCGTATCGCCGGGGAGGGGGTGGTTCACATCAACTTTGTCATCGCAGTCAGTTCCGAATCGCCATAACAAATACGATGGAAAATAATTTGAGGGGGTGGCTTTTGCTGTAATTTAAATTCAAATTTTATCTTTAGGTCCTGTTGTTTTCAGAAATTGAATCTTCTGATTTTAATTTGCCCTTGTTACGTGCAGTAGCTCTGGGCTATTTTACAAGACTGCATGATGGTTCTGTAATGCATTGTTTCTTTTTTTTTTGCTCTGCTTTCTTTTTTAATTTTGTTTCTAGATGTTTCATTTAAAAATGATTCAAACCCCCCAAAGAGGCAGCCACTTCCTATTACAAAAGGCTTCATTCCTATTACCTTGCTTTGAAGAATTTAACAATAAAGGATCTGTTTAAAAGACCATGTCCATATACACAACATCTTGTATATACCAGCATCACCAGAAAGGGTACAAACAAGAGGAAGGCATTTTGAAGGCTCATTTGGATTCTTATAGCAAATTGATCCAAGGTCCTCATTCAGCCATTTCTCACAAAAAGCTAGAGTATCAGCTTCAACAACATGGCAAAGGAAGCTTGTTCCCTACTCCCACAACTCATTGAGTTAAGTAATACCTCCTGGTCTGTAAATTAAATACACTCCTTCCTAGTTTCCACTGATGTATTCTGGTGTGCGTTTCACTGTCGATTCTGGAGGTCTTTGGTTGACTTGATCAGCGCCCATGAGGATCTTCAATAATCTGTTAATAATTCAATAATTCACGTTTTCAATAGATTAACATATTTAATATATTGAGAAACTATTTCATAGCCAAAGTGCACAATATTTCAGATGTGGGGCAGGCATGTTTGATGGCAATGGTCTTAGTTTACGGTCCTGACATACCTGTTTCCACAGGTTTGTGCAATTGTGTATCTAGGTGAAACGGATGCATAAGAAACGTGCGTTTTGTGCACAAGATGCATTCCGAGTGCGCCTGTGTTTGTGTGGACATGTGCTGCTCTGTCTGCATGCAAAAGTGGGATTGTGTCTGTTATTTCTCGATGGTCTGGAGGTTTTAAAGGGGTATTAGTGGATTTTCCCTGGTTTGCAGGGTATTTGGGTGGAGATTATAACTGATAGAAAGCATATGGTGGCAAGCAGGGGACAGAATGAGAATGGCGCAGAGAGGCTGTAACACGTTTCTGGAAAATCCAGTAGATTACCCCTGTGAAGGACGCTGTGTCCCAGTGGCAAGAGCTCTCCTGCAAGCAGGAGAATCCCTCTGATAATGTCCAGCTCGGGGATCACAGGGAGACTTTTAGGAAAGATTATCACAGTAAACATGCATGGTATTTATTACCTTTTCCTCCTGGATTTGCCACGATTACGCTTCAGATTTATTTCGCCTTCCCCGTGGTTTCTTTCTTGGTTTAGCATACCCCTCTCGGTTTCGCTGTGCTTTTACTGTGCCTGGTCTGCGCCATGGCTTCATTTCATGCTGCTGTTACCGTGATGCCACAGTAAACACTTGGAATTGAAGGGGGACGGAGACGCCCAGTTCACTGAAGGGGACTGCAGGCCCAGACTCTTGTCTCTGTGACCTCTGCTGCGTATACAGTATCAGCAGGTCTCTCAGGCACCAGCTGGTGAACGAATCACATCTTCCACAAACTCTTTACCTGCATTCACAGCATTGCTCCTCGAGACCCCCTCCTATCACATCCTGTCTGTCCTCTCCCACTGCTTGTGCCCATCCCCGTTTCTGCATCCCAGATTCCCTGCACTGAAGGTTGATAGAAGGATCCCACCTGCAGGCCGACGCCTGGGTGAGCCAGGGCCAAGTGCAGACTGCTGGACTCTGTCTTCCCAGGCCCACAGCTTTTCAGCTCTTAAGGACAGCGATACTTATCTGTTCATTGTTCTGTTTTCGTTAGAAATGATCATTCCATGGAAAGCAGGCCACAATCATTTTCCTCGTTGTTAAAACACACATCCTTCATGCTCATTGCCAAAAAGACACTTTTTGAGACAGAGTTGACACTTTTGAGCTTGTTGGCAGAAAAGGGCTGTTGTGGTATAGCTATGGTTCAGCACAGGAAGTAACACCTTGACACACACGGAGATAGACCCCCCCCCCCACACAGACACACACACACACTGCTTGCTGTTCTGTCCCCTTCACTCTCCCATTTAATCCTCGCTCTTACACATCATCTCCCTTTCCCAGTGCAGGCTATCTGCAAAGATAATGAATTTAATACCATTGCGCTTTACAGCCCTCTAATATTCTCTAATAGCCCTACACCATATGGAGCCA